AATCAGTGAATGGGTTAAATCAACACAAAATCTTCATTAAAAAAAATCTGGTGATGTGTGGACAGTGTACTACTCATAGTCTCTGATGTGAGTCCCATCGGTGCATGAATGTGATAAAGCTCTGATTAGTCTCATTAGAATGATTTGTTCAATTATCTTTGTAGAGATCTAGTATAGAGCTGTATGGATAGGTCAATGAGGCACAGATTGTTGTAAAGAGCTTTGAGTATCTCAATAAGATAGAAAGGAGCTATATATGTACAGTTCATTTACCATTTCCTTACTTTACTCTTACCTGTTTTGTATTTGTAATTATTTCTATCTTAACAGGTGTTTTTGTCTTTCTTCCAATAGGAGGTACACCTGGACCTACATCTGGACCTGCCATTCTGTGTCTGTTTCTCCTTCCTGTTCCTCTCAAACCAGCCGGTCGAAGCAGATGGTCGCTTGTCCTGAGCTGGTTCTGCTGGTTTCTTCCTGTTAAAGGGAGTTTTTCCTTTCCACTGTTGCCACTGTGCTTGCTCAGGATGGGTGACAAAATGAAGACTCACTGAGTCTGCTGGCTTCCTTCCTTAGATAGAGAACTTTACTTATTGGATTTTTTATGTATATGAAAGTTTTTGTAGAATGCTCTGAGACAACTTCTGTTGTGATTTGGCGCTATATACATAAACTGAACTGGTATGAATGGAATTGTAATGAGCCAATCTGGGTTATCATTGTGTGGAGTCACGGTCACTTATCAATAAAATTCCTCCTTCTGATCAAAGTTTAAACAGAACCTAAGATTATTGATAGTTATTTTTACGAGTGTAAATTAATTATTACCATGCAATACAATCACACTACAAGCTCAAGATCCATCAATATTATTTAATATACTGCTCAAAAGTATTGTTTATGTGCACGCACTGTTGTTAAAACAGAAACATGGCTGTTCATGATCCTCGCTCTGATCCTGATTTTTGCTGATAGAGAAAAAGTAAATTGTAGTTTGGGAACACTTTAGCAGAAATGCTAATGATAATGTACACGGAGCTGGTGTTATGTGACGAGTAGCTGCAGTGAGCTTTCCTCCCACCTGTCTGCTAGAATGCTATTAACATGCCATGTTAGAACGGGCCCATCCTACGGGTCACTTTGTAATGTGCCGACGGTCTCCACCACATGCAGGGAAAACACACACAGGCAGGATCATCTGCGCACGTACTTTGAGATGAGAACAGCTGTCTGTTATCAGAGCCCAGCAGCTTCCTTCGACATAACTGAGGCCGTCTACACCAGGCACAACGTGATTTCTCCCGGGGACACTTTTTCCATTTCCTGCTTTAGAAGGGAAACTAAATAAGCCCCGTTTGTTCTCATTTGAATACTTTTGGCCCATTAAAACGACTCTGCTCTCTGGTGCCCCACTCTGCTGCCGTGCTCGAAAGTAGACCGCGCTGGCCGCAGAATGCAAATGACAAAAGTGGCGACGGGCGTAGAGCGTGAGGTGCCTGGCAGGAGCAGATAGTGGCGGAGGTGATGCAGACGAAGGAGGGGGTGAAAGCGTTGAGTGGGAGCTCCAGTTACTCCCTCACATCCAGGAAGATCATGTGAGACAACGCTTGTCGTATGGGTCTCCGTATTTACTAATTCACTCCTCTGTTACTTTAACACACAATTAATCAATGACAGGAAGGTGTAGTTGGTGCTGTTCATCAGCAGCGTAACGTGAGCCAGGGTGAATTAATACAGTCACTGGGGGGATTACAGCTTGCCATGCTCACTCTCTCTTCCTGAAACAAAAAGGAATCGCCACCGAGACAGGAGCAATTTAAATCGACAACACTGAGTAATGACTCAATTTGTTGCACAGTCTAAACACAAGCAAATGGCATTACTAAATCATTAGAAAGCATCCAAATCTCTAGTTAGAAGTTAGCGGATAATAAAACTGCTTTTAGAACATTAACGGTGCAATAAAACCTTGAAAACATAAAAGTTTTGGAGTGAAAGCAAAAACCACAAGGAGAGCTTTATAAACAAACTTGTTGATAGATACTGTAATGATCAAGATCCATCCATCCATCCATCCGTCCATCCATCATCTTTACACACTTCTTCCTTTTCAGGTCACGGGGGTCACTGGTGCCCATATCCAGCGGTCAGTGTGTGAGAGGCGGGGGACACCCTGGACAGGTCTCCAGACCACCACAGGAAATATAAACAGTATAATTTATTTAGTTGTTGGAGAATAATTAGCCACAGTAAGTGTGTTCTTTCTCTGTACTTTGGTTTGACGTTAATCTGGATGTTCTCACCTCAGAGTGAAACCATATGGGTCTTTTATTGACCATTTTTGTTGAAATCATTTTTTAAAGTTTTTATTTCTACAAATAGAAAACATTTAACGTAGTGAAGACAGGGAAGCAGGTAAATTATTGATTCTACTCCAGACAAGAAGATAGATACTGGTCAAACATTCTGTTTCTGGAACTTTTCTTAAGAGAACACTTCGCTCTCAGACTGCAGGTTTACTTGTGGTTCCTAGAGTTTCCAAAAGCAGAATGGGACACAGAGCTTTCAGTTATCAGGCTCCTCTCTAGTGGAACCAACTTCCAGGTTCTGTCTGTGAGGATGACACATTTTCCAGTTTTAAGATTAGACTTAAAACTTTTCTTTTTGATAAATCCTACAGTTAAGGTTGGCTTGGGTTTTCTGAACTATAAGCTTAGACTTCTGGAGGACAAACTGACCACATTTCTTCACTATACTACTGACTTTACTTACTCTGCTCAACCTGTTTGTATTTGTAATTATTTCTATCCTTGACATGTGTTTTTGTCTTTCTTCCATTAGGATGTACACCCATAGACATATATACTAGACGCCCCATTGAGCAGGCTGCCCGCTGCAGCCGTACGTCAGCGCGTCCGCCATTTTAAATGTGGCGGAACTGTCGGTCATTCAATGCAAAGAAATGGACAGAACTTCATAAAGCACCGTTCTACAAAGTGTTTTAAGTTAATGCCCGTCATTCAAACAACTTACGAATGTTGTCTTTGGTGCCTGTTTGTTTTCCATTTATGTTAGTGTTTGAATGACGGGCATTAACTTAAAACACTTTGTAGAACGGTGCT